TTTTACTTTTTTGTCAATATTTGAATATCCCTCGTCTAATTTAAGTCATGTAAATTACATACAATAGTATTTTTGCATTTGAACTATCTTGAAAAATGATGTTCCTTTATTTTTGAATGTCGCACTCAGAAATATTCCGGCTACATGACGATGACCTGTCTCTCGTGATGGTCCGGGTCAGAATAAGCCTCCAGCAACCCATGCTTGTCTCTCCCACATGAAGATCCGGGTTAGAATTGGTCTTTAGCAACCCATGCTTGTCGAAAGAGGCGACTAACGAGATTGGGTTGTCAGACTTGATGACTTGGTTGATGCATGTTATCCTATTCCAGTTGTGCATACCTAATCGCATGATATCAATCACTGGGTTGTCTTGTCCAGATTCGATATAACCAGACAACCATCATACTGCTGGGTAAGGCGTTATACAACAAACAATAAAAAAGGACACGCACAAAATAACCGGGTCGAATCACGCTTTTGGGGTACGATGACACAATATCAACCAAGTTACCGACTGTAACATGTTTACTTTGCCCAACATCTCACAATTCGTCGATCGTACTATTTCTTTAAACCCACAAATCAGAAAACTAGCGCTTACAATGATTAACATGTCCTTGTGAGACGATGCTTGGAAATCGTGAGCCCCTTGGGATGTAAAAAATCAACCCTACCAAACAGTGAATCATGGTCAAGCATGTCCTGCCAATTCGTGATGCGAGAATCAAATGAGATGCACATCGGTAGATCACTACAGGTTATCTCCATGCGTTTACCTGGATTGGCCGATTCGACATTGACCTCTCCAAATTGCAATTTTTAATATCTACTTGGGTGTCCCACAACTTTTAATACTTACTTCTTACGAAGACACAGGTAAAGGTCAACAGCAACACAAGCCTCAGGGATGTCATGTTTGCGAGTCAGTGATGTGATACAATTACTGACTTCAATGCAATGCGCAGTTGTGAATTTGGGAAGAAAAAATAAAACACCATATGTGCCGCTTATCACGTGATCTCACAAACGAATATCTATCTTACACTACATAACCTTTTGGATATGCAAGAGAAGCAAGCAATATATCTGGTCACAGTTCGTTAAAGGTGTCGACATTGTTCTCAAGAGTTAATATATGGTAATCATTTTGTTTCTTTCTGAGTCCCGAAAGAGGTCAAGTGATCTATCACCCTGAAATGCAGTGAAAATTTCGGCTAGTTATTTTGTAAAATGTATATGCAACAGAACATCGATATCTGTACCACATATGGAGAAGATAAAATAAAATACAATAGGTGTGGAACGAGATGTCATCTGTCGCTGCATCTGTTGCCAACAATCTAATGCTTGAATATCGAACAATTTCATTAAAATCAGGGCCCACTTTTACAAAATAATCTTAGTTGCCGTTGATCTTTAGCGAATTGAATTTGATTTTTTTTACAATTCATATATACTCAACAACAAAAGCTCATGTGACATCAATATTTTAGTGTATTTTTCATAGAATTTCAATATTGTAGTATGTGTATGGAATCAAGTCACAAAAACACAACTGCTACAGAAAAGGATGCATTTCTTGTATATAGTACTTTTCACCCATTGTAAGTGCATTCAGTTAAATTTGCATCCCCTGTGTAATATATTCCGTGTTTTCAAGGGTGTAAGTAAATACACATTGAGTGTCTCGTCCACGGTCTAAGGGAAATCACTCCGTCAGTCCTCTGAAAGTTGTGCCGCTTAGCGCACTGTCAAATTGAATGCGCTTACGTCATTGGCTGATGTTTTTTTGTCAGCCACGTTTTATGAAACATTAATTGATTTGACCCAAATACTTGTTTTCAGGTATGTATGATAATTAACGGTCGAGATAAGACCACAACATATGTAATTATGTAGATAAGAACATGTAGATTTGAAATAACCATATTTGGCTATATAGGTAATGTTGTAATTAGATAATTACTTGCTTAACGATAACGCTGCGCCCAGTCAGTGTTAACGGACGACATGGTAGCGAAGGACAGTCAAGGTCATTTGTCATTTCAGCACTCACACAGATATATATGATGTGTATCGCTGTCAAACATGTACACACACTCCTCAGGCAATGTTTTCAAGCAAAAGCTAGGATAAAAAGCACTATTACCAACACCTGCTGATCGTTCATATTTGAGGTCACGTGACCTCCCACAATTTTATGTACATCGTTTAGCATACTTACGTTGTATATTTTGTAAGAACACACTTCAAGCATATAGCATAATCATTGTAAATATAACTTTTCCGCATTAAAACATCATAATCGAGCTGAACCAATATAAGTTACAGCATATCCCATTTCATTGCATAGCATCTGTCTCAGTTAAAGGGAGGTAGTTCTTGTTGTCTTGTTAACGACGATTCACAATGTAATGCATGTGTACTCATTTATAAAATAATCTGTGCAATTTCTTAGTTTTCATTTGAAATAACAAACTAATGGGAGTATAATTCATTAAGGTATTATTTTCAAACAGAACATATGCCAAATATATAATTAGTTCACTTTTATAGATTATTTGATGATTTATGCAATGTTCTAATACAATATGGAAAATTAGCATCTTATTGGTGTTATGGTTACCATTAATGCATGGATTTATCTTTTATGGTTTCTTGATAGATGATATTAATGTGTATCAACTTGTTCCATTGCAAGTTGTGTTGATGGGTCTTGTCATCTAATGTTGACATTGAAAATATAAGTAACCAAGAACTGGTATTATAATACTTTATTGTATGCCTAGTATAGTTAATGAGTGTTGATATTTTATCCATAGCGCCACACCAAGTTGAAAATTTGAAGCATAAACATGATGTTTCTTTTGTCAGCCATGTTTTATGAAACATAAACTGATGTGACCGAAATTCTTTGTTGTTTTCAGTTGTCAATCTGAGCGATTGTGACCTGGGTAACACATCCTATGCAAAAGTTGAATTTTCCCAAGCCCCATGCATTTCACCGCCCAAGAACGGGTATAAAACGACATGCGGTAACGGGATTCCAAATGCATTTGTTTAGCATCGTTCTGACAACAACCACTCAGAAAAAGAACAAAATTACGCAATTTTCAACATTACGAAATGACACGCCTGTCCGAAAATGAGCGTCTGCGAGCCATTGGTATGCTTGAAGCAGGATCGAGTCAACGTGATGTTGCAAGACACTTAAACGTCCACGGAAACACCATTTGTTGTTTATGGCAACGTTTGCAAGAGACGAATGCAGTCAGAGACCATCCTCGGAGTGGCAGGCCACGTGTAACCAATAATCGACAAGACAACTGGATTTGAACAACACACCTACGAAATCGATTCCAGCCAGCAACAGTGACTGCAAGAAGCATCCCTTGCCTTCGACGAATGTCTTCACAAACCGTACGTCGTCGCCTCAGATGTGCAGGGATTGTCGCTAGAAGACCCGCCAGACGTCCCATTTTGCCAGGAAACCACCGTCAAGCACGTCTACAGTGGTGCAGACAGCGTCTACGCTGGACGACCGTGCAGCCCATGGGGACAAGTTCTATTCACCGTCGAGTCTCGTTTTCACATCAGCCACAGCGATGGACGGATTCGAGTGTACCGACGTCGAGGTGAACGTTTCGTCAATCATTGTCTCATGGAAGAAGATCGGTTCGGTTAGCGGCAGCGTTATGTTATGGGGTTGCATTACAGCAAGCCAGAGGACCCGTTTGATAGTGGTAGAGGGAAATCTCAATGGACTTGTCTCAATGGACTTGTCCCCATGGCCGTCCAGCGTAGACGCTGTATTTTACTCGGGCCAATGATAAGTTTTCAGTGTGTTACTCGTTCACAGGTGCAGGTCGTAAATGGAGATCTATCTATGAGTGTTTTGTTTGATTGATTGTTGTTTACTCTCAGCAATATTCCAGCTATAGGACGGCGAATCTGGACCAGACAATCCTGTGATTGACGTCATGAGGTTCGATCCACGCAATTAGGATCGATGACATGCATCAACCAACTGACCACCTGACCACCCGACCCCGTTGGTCGCCTTTTACGGTAAGCATGGGTTGCTGAAGACCTAATCCACCCCGGATCTTCACGGGGCCTCTCTCTGAGTGACAGAACTAGTGAATTGTTTAGTATAGTATAGTGACACATAGAGTAGAAATAGTTGAGAAAGTGACCACTGACATCGTAAACACACGCTAATTAAACAGAAACTTCGCTTAAAATTCGTTTTCCTTGCATCGTATTACATGTTCATTGCTCATCACATAAAAAGGGGATTTCACGTTTAGTTGATTGCGAGGTACGTTCATGTTTAGTTACTTGAGTTTAGTTTCCACTGCGCACCAATTTGCTAAATGAATCGAGTCATATGTGAAACAAGCCAGTGTTAGAGCTAGAAAAAACATGAAGCAATCATGAAGTATTTGGGTGATTGTTTGTTGTAAGTTTTCATAGAACATGAGAACGCGAGTACTGATTATGACTGAGTACAGCTTCGATCAAGTAATCAAGGTCGCATATATTCGAAAGAAATACATCTATAAACCAAACTGGAGGTGGATGTCAAGTTATCATATATAACGTGCAGTCAATCTTAACAGGTGATGAAGATATTCATCCACAAATCCCGAATCCTCACTCAGTTACATTTAATCATAAAATATTCATTCGTGACAATTCCGTATTTAATAAATCGTTAACCATAGATGCTTTCTATGAAGGATCGAAAAACGAAGAGCTGTTTGATCTGCAAGAGGAAAGAAAGCGCCCAGGAGAAATCTTTTATAAATCTTAGTTTCCAATATTTCAATGGTCAATCATGGCATGTCTTTTTCAGGTGCACAATTGACTTGCCTTAGCATGTGTTGTGTCGGGTGCCACCGTTGGGACAGAATACACACCGTTGGGACAGAGAGACCAGCAATAACTTTTTGAAGGTAAGCATTGTCAAGTTACACAATCGAAACATATATACATGCAGTTGCGGATTGGTTTATTTCATTTAATGTACAGTTTTATTCTTTTGTGTATATGGAAAAAAAGAAGCATATAAATCAGAGTAACAGTCGAAATTATTGCAGTATGCCCAAATGTTTATTGTAAAGGCGCCACTTCATCCAATTATCTGTCTCTTGCATCTGAAACAAATATTTAAAAATGTGCCCACTTTATTAGTCTACTATGCCCAGAAGAACAAGAAGACGATAGTTACAGGAGCTTACAAAAGTTTCACCTTTCACCAAGGTGTACTTATGTACACAACATGTCATGCATAATGTGTCCGGAGTGTTCGTCAGGTCCAGGAGGTGCAAGCAGAATACTTAAGGACACAGTCAAACTCTAAATAGAAGAGTGTAGGTCAGAACTGACCTGAACCATTTAATGCCTGACTAAGAGCGAACTGATGAGGACTGAGTGCTCAGAATGTATGACCGAGCTGATTCTGTGTCATAGTACCGTAACATCATGTATTGTTGACAATAGTGCCCACCGCAGGTTGTTCTGGCTCAGCTTGTCTCTATAGCCTCGTTAACTCACCTGGAAACCTACATTCAACTACTTGTTCACCCCATGTCAGAACAGCCTTCTGTTTAAAGCGTTCGCTCATCATGACGAAGACCTGGACTCGATTCCCCACATTGGTGCAATATATGAATCTTTTTCAGTTGTCCCTAGCCGTGATATTGCTGGAATATTTCTAACAGCAGCGTAAGACTGTATTTACTCACACCTAGTCGGAGCACATCAACAAACGTATCCATAGTGATTATATAAAAATTCTTGCCGAAGCAGATTCCTTTGTTCTTAAAAGACATAATCTCTATGAAGATTATATGAATTCAAATACTCACAGAAGAGCCAGTGTCCATCAGAGCCAAATCCCGTGGTGATGCTGATGTATCCGATGTTGTTGGGTGTTGCGTCCGTCCACGACATGAACTCCCGTCTTCCCACAGTGACGCCATATCCCACTGCTACTCGACCATTGTTAAAGCTTATCCAGAATGGTAAATGCTGATCCGGAGAGAGAGGCTTGTGAAGAGCAAATGCCTCGTTTGTGCCCTGCATACTTTCTCGGATGACAGACTTTGTGTTGCCAAATCCTCCAATGACGATCTCGTACATGTTATTATCAGTGTCGCCGTCGTTGGCGACCAAGGCAATGTGGGCGTCGTGAGAGGCCCGTACCCAGAACACGAGGGCCGGAATACAGTTTCGTCTTCGTGTCAAGCGGACGCCACGGGTGGTAACAGACTGGTACTGGTAGACATTGTCTGTTGCAACACCTGCTACAGGTGCCCCACTGGACATGCCTCCATCAGAATCTGCAGGACAGGAGCGGTAGACAAATTATATCTGTACTAGAAAGTCTGTGTCTGAATACTTAACGTCGCACTTGCATTGACGGAGCCATATAGGGACGACAGCAAATATATGAATTCAACGACAATTATTTAAGAACTGGTAAGGACTATTTGGCTTGGAGTCAGAATGCTGCGTCTGTGTAGGCTATACATTTTAAACTGTAGCATGGCATCTTAGAAGACCAACACCATTAAACCGACATGCTTCTACACCAGTACACATATAAGGCCTAAGTCAAATATATGTCGTCATAAACGCCGCATATCCCACATGTTCACTTGGACTCAGATCTATTGGTCTGGAGGACGATTGAAAAAATCCAATTTTGGTTTATGCTAGAAAAAGGTTGTAAAGGTATGGTCGGTTAGGTTGGCTCATGAATGGAATGATGCGTGTCCGAATGATTTTGTGTTGGAAATGAAGGATTGTGACGTTCGCCGTGACATGCAAAAGGTCTGTTCCCAAACTGTGAGAGATGGCTGCTCAGACAATAGCACTGCCACTACCAGATCTGCCTTTGGACCCATGCTCTGCCTTCTGGAATGAAATCCTGCTCTAAAATCCCGATTCATCACTGCTAACAACAGTCCTCCGTTGTCAAGTGGCAAATCTTTAAAAAAACTTAAAGAAACAATTAACTGGGCGTTCCAGCAAAATGTATTGTGAATTCCCCCCCCCCCCCCTTTCACTCACCGTAATCAGGAAAAAACATTTTATACTCAGCAACAAAAGCTCCTTTAACACGATGTAAAACAAGAACCTGCATCTGGAAGAATTCTTATTTCAAATAGACAATGGACCAGTAAAACAAGGTTGCACATTTAATGACACATGTCTTGTACAGGAATCACTTCATGACAAGAGAAAGATGCAACAGACTTGTCAGTTCACACGTCAGTAGCGCGTGTGTCTCCATCTCACTTGGAGGCATGCAATGCATCTCCTTCACACTGAACGGATCAAACGTCTAACACAGTATTGTGTAATCGCATCCCCTATCTCCACCAGCCTGTCTATTAGTTCCTCTACTGTAGTCGGAGCACGTGGTAAACGTCGGAGACGACGGTTCATTTCATCCCACATGTGTTCAATTGGAGAAAGATCTGGAGAGCGAGCAGGCCAAGGGATCACATTGACGCTGTTCTGTCCAAGTGCGTGTTAAACAGTCCGGGCTACATGGGGTCGATCGTTGTCAGGGTGAAAAATCATGCCAGGTCTTTGTTAATTCCAAAACGGTACAAAGATAGGCTGGATGACCATGTCACGGTAACGCTGCACCATGACACTGCTTCCTCCGAAAGGTGTTGTATGCAACCGATTGGCAAGGGGTGTCGCAGGAACTTTTGTTGCTGAGGGTACATGTTTTACGCAGTGACCTTAATTAGTCTGTCACTAAGACAAAACCAAGCCATTCCCCGAAATATGAAATGGTCTGCTCCTAAACGTCTACGATCTACACTGTTGACTGAGGAAGTTTTGTTTGTTTGTTTGTTGTTTAACGCCACATTCAGCAATATTCCAGCTATATGACGGCAGTCTGTAAATAATCGAGTCTGGCCAGACAATCCAATGATTGACGTTACGAGCATCCAAGCAATTGGGATACGATGACATGCATCAAGTCACCGGGCCTGACCACCCGATCCCGGTAGTCACCTCTTACGACAAGCATTTTACGGCAAGCATGGGTTGCTGAAGACCTAATTTAACCCGGATCTTCACGAGTCCACTGCGGAAGTAATCTGCCAAAACCACTCATAAGTTGAATAGATACACTAAAACCTGAAGACATCTTCATTCCTCTTTTGTACTATATTGTAAAGATCCATAAAAGTCGTTCAAAGAGAAATATATTGCCTAGTTTTGATTTTCCAATTTTTACAAAGCTATCTTACAGGGCAAACTTACGGGAACACGTTCCTCGATCCATGGGCATTTGTTACAAAACGTGGTGACCACAGATATAGATATACATATCTATCTTCATAGTGTCAGGACATTTGGTCAAATATAAAAGCAAACTGGTATAAAACGATGGATCACTTCAACATTACCTTTATCTTTAGCAATATTCCAGCAGCTGCAGCGTTTGGTGTCTACATTTAACATTTTTAGGTACATCCGAGCCTGCACTTTTTAAGGAGATTTTAAAGAGCAACATCAAGGTTACACGTTTATTGTATACATGTGGAAGATGTTCCCATGTGTTTTTCAGGTGAACACTTGACCTGCCTTTACATGTGTTTGTGATGCGGACTACACACTCACCTTTTCGCGAATACCTGGTATCATCACTCTTTGATATTTATCTTTAAACACATGCTCATGATATAGTCGGAATCGACTGTGCTTTTGGCAGATATTTCTCATGTATAAGGAAATGTTTTTTGTCGCTCTTATTTCAATTACACCTGAATACTATTCAAAGGCCGTTACACTCAACTCATACTATCTCCTCTGTAATAATCCTTACCAAACTGCCAGGACCCAGAAGACCCGAACCCCGTTGTGACGGCGAGATAGTTGACATCATAGGGAGCTGGGTCCGTCCAGGTCATGAACTGTCCTGCGCCAACAGTCGTTCCTGTGCCCACTGATATCACACCTCCTTCCCAACTGATCCAGAAGTCGCGGAATTCCGTGGAACTGAGAGGAGAATGAAATGCTTCGACCCTGTTGATTCCCTGTCTGCTGTTTCTGATTATAGATCGCGTATTGCTAAATCCACCGAGGACGATTTCGTACATGTTCTGTCCCGTTTCGCCATCATAGGTGAGCAAAGCCACGTGGGCGTCATTTGAAGCCTGGATCTGTAAGCATTTTTACATATATTATCATGTCAGCCTAATAGTAATCAGCGACATACAAATGCCTGGGTGAGGACATTAGAATGATGCAATATAACACGTCCCATTTTTAATAGTAATCAGACACATACACGTCCCATTTTAATTCTGGAAACCTAATAGCCCAGAAACTCTACGGTCCTTGCCCAGTCTCGGTCAAAGGTATTTATAAAATAAAACATGCTGTTTTCATTGGAACATACCAAGGAAGAAAGATTGAACACAAAATCTTTAAAAACTCAATATTAACTCTGTGTAATGGCACACTTAGTGTGGCCCATGGGCCTGCCTATAGGCGGATATTGGCCCATGGGTAGGCCCATGGGAAGGCCCAGAGGAGAGAATATGTTCCTTTACTTAAAACTCATGTTTTCGTTTCGCAAATACATAAGTGTATTTCTTTTAAGTAGGTTGACACAAAATGTTACTCATTTTAACTTAATTCAACGATTTTATAGCGATATTGAAATATTTCGCCCATGGCCGAGAAAAAGGTTTGGCCCATGGGCGAGAATATGTTCCTTTACTTAAAACTCTTGTTTTTGTTTCGCAAATACATAAATGTATTTCTTTCAAGTATCATGACACAAAATTTAACTCATTTTAACTTAATTCAACGATTTTATAGCGATATTGAAATATTTCGCCCATGGGCGAGAAAAAGGTTTGGCTCATGGGAGGGAATATTTTCCTTTGCTCAGCAGTTTTAGTTTCGCAAATACATGACGGGATGACACATTATTCAACTCATTTTAACTTAATTCAACAAATTTCTAGCGTTATTAAAATATATCGCCCATGTTTTCGTCAGTCCCTTTAAAGAATTAACTAATTGTGTGCAAAGTATATTGTATCATGTGAAATATATTTTATATTATTTCATTATAATTACATTACTATTTAAAAAGGGCCTTTGGTTGGATGTTTCCTTTGCAGAAGTTTTACAAATTTCACCTTTTTTACATATTGCAACGATCTTTAATGAACCCGGTGTCCCAGTATAAACTCTCCCCCACACAAATTGGGTTTCAACGTCGCGTCCACGATTATTGAACTTATATAGCGACGTGCATGCACGCGTGTGCGTGTGTGTGGCTGCTTGTACTAGTCTGGAGTGATGCCGATGTATAGTGCTAGCACACTGAGATACCATGCCGCAGTTTAACATGAATACCGCACTCAGACACAGTATACTGACTCCGAGCCGACGAGTTCATGCTTCAAACCTACAACATCATAACTATCTAATTCAGCACCGACTAAATCTACTTTGTCTTTAAGACAGCGTACGTTTAGATGTATAATCTTTAAATCTGGACTATGCAAAGGTCCTGGATTCGGATGGATATCAGCGCATCAAAAGAGAAAAAGTAAAACTAAGAATGATAATCGGAAATTATATAAGCAAAGTAACCCAAAATATAGTGAAATGTGTATCATCTTCCCGAAATGATTAGCATGTAGAATAGATTTTAAAACACCCACCGCCAGCCTGTATTGAACAACATCAACCGGCATTGTCAGACCAAAGTGCACATGTGATTGTTACAATCGGGCTGGCGGTGAATCTTAATGAAAAACACCTTGTTAAAAAGACACATTGAAACTGATGCATAACTGATGACCACAACATATTGCAAAATATCAAAATAGTAAAAATGATGCGAAATAAACTCATACGCAATCGCCAGCTGTCAATATACAAAACAGAATACTACATCAAGATGACAGTTTTCATGTAAAGATAACGTATTTCTAAGCAAATTAAAGATACATATATCTAGATATTGTGCATATCTTTAAGTTGCTTAGAAATACTTAGTCTTTACATGGAAACTGTCATCTTGATGTATTATAATGTATTGTATATTGACAGCTTGTGATTAATCTTAGCAGATGGCTCCAGCTGGAGGAGCAGACGACACACTTTCAAACAATGGGGAAAAGGGTAAAAATATGAGTAGGCTGGTTTTCATCGAGCAGACGGCTCACCAGTCTAAGATGTATTGAAAAAACACACACTTAATTCTAAACCTTATCTAATGTTAATTCAACAGTTTATCATATACTTAGCAGTGGGATATTCTGTTAATAATCTCTCATAATTCTATTGAATGTTTCTGTACATTCTATCAATATTTATTTCTACAAAGCTGTTTTATGTATGTACAGAAGTGAGACATTAATAAATTATTGTCTGGGAGGAGATTTTATTTTGGGGGCGAATTTATTTCGTGACACCGGCCTTACCTCTCAAAACGTTTTGACAGTTTATCATACGAATTCATGCGCGTGTATACCAATTCATTGGCGTTATTTTCCAACGAATTAAAGATTAGTTTGTTTCTTTTTCATTTCCCATTTTATATCTCGTTGATACATCACATTGGGAAACTAAGTGGCACTAGATATGCAATATACAGGTACACGTGCGCGTATTTCAATGGGGAAAAACCCCGATTCGTCTTTCATTGCATAACGTCCAGCTGAATATCTCACATTCTAACGAAATCTCGAAATAATTATTTCATTATATGCGGTGCGATGTTTACAGGCGATTGAGGAAAACTTGAGTGAATATTATGACACTAAAGCAACTTTTAAATGCATTGTCACTATTGGTATGAAAATGGTAACAGTTCAGAAAAAAACAGCCTTCTTATGATAATTCTCATATTCTCATTAGTATGTTGTATCTATTTACAGTGTCGGCATTATTCACAGGTGATTCTACAATACTTGCTCTCGGTCAATTACGATCTACCACACCACGCGTGAATAAACAGTTATACAGGTGTTGCTGTTGGCAAATACCTAACCTGCATATGTATATTTTTTTGTAGATACATGTTTTACATATTTTCGTTGATATGTGGATATATTAAGCACAAAGACAAAAACAAGTTTATGAAAGATGAATTAGTGCCTTGATATATTCAACGAGATGTGTATCATCGTTTAATGGGTCATTCAATAAAAGTATTGTTGAGGAGATATCAAAGGAGCCGCCCAATATACACAGTGTCGTCCGGTGAACTACCACCCCACCCTGTCCGTAAGAGTTATGTAATCGGTACACAAATATATTTGATGCGGTGTCAGTGAGGAGGGGTTTGAATTACGTCCGCCACTGGCCACAGAAATCCTCAAAGTATAGTAACAATCAACAAGGTCAATGCCGTACTAATTACCTAGTGATCATGGCGCACGTAACAACGACTGTCAATCTGTCTCCTACAGATACCATACCATCATCCCTAGGCCTGTCACAACTGGCATATTAACGGCTTATTCAAAATATTAATTGTAGAAACGTCGTTAGAGACTAACGTATGTCGTATACAGTCCTCATATTTGATAAAAAAAAAGTAAATACGTCAACTGGGAATTAAACTTGATGTTACCTTCCTTATATCAGCTAACAGCCTTGTTTGTGAAAATATGTACTAGACATAAGATTTAAAGACTAATAAATTCAATTGTAAGACCGCATAGACCATAAAACCGAATAAAATATGTCTTGGTATCATCTCTTGTGTATTAGATGATGGTAATGACCTGAAATGTTATAACGTTAGATTAGGAAGGAGAAACATTAAAGTGTTTTATAATACTTGGGAACATGGGCACTAAGATGTAGCAACATAATCATGCATGGAATGGAATAGGGAAAATGGTGAAAACAAATTGAAATAGATTTTAATAAAACATTATTGTACTAAATTACTTGCAAAAGCGGTGACTAAGTTTGTTTGACCGTGCTATGCGTGTTGTCGACTGATGACCAGGAAGTAATTGTCATGCTGTACGCATGGTTCCATATACAAATTCAGATATACAACCGGTGTAAAACCGAGAACTCATATGCCAAGTACACTGCAAAAAAAAATCCACATATACAAGCTTGTATATGCTTTGGAAAGATGGTATATCCAAAGCATATACAAGTTTGGAATGATGAGATATGCAAAACATACAAGTTTGTATTTATGACATATACAAAAATATACAATTTTGCATATATGATGTATCCAAAATTGTTTTTCTTTGTATATATTAGTAAAGGGAGATAATTGTAATGTATTCGTGTATAATAATTGTATATGTGCAAAATGAAGTATTTTAAGTTGAGCACTGTGTTTCTTTGTAAATGTTGATAAAGAGGGGTAACTGCTGGGTATAGTTCTATAATTGTTTTGTATGTGCTAAATGCCGATCAATATTATTAGCAAGTTACCAATATAACTGATATAGTGGCGTGTAACATTATTGGGATGTTTAATTAGTACTCCTCACTGTTAGCGGGAGTCCTTACTCTCCTTGCAATGATATTGACGGGTAAGCGATTGAGACGTCTGGTACTTTTCCTGGCGCGGTGCTTGGTATGTGGGTAGACTTATTGTCAAATTTACAGAGCGGATTAGCAGTCGGAGGTGAATGCACTGGAGGTGACTTCTTTATTATAATCACTTGAATGTGTTGAAATCGATTTGTGCTGAGCTTGGATTAGTTTGTACGGGATGCCGCGATGTGATTTGTAACATGCTCTCGTGCGCATAGCAGATTAACCAACAGATTGCACAGAGGATGAAAGCTCATCATTATTACTTAAAAGTGTTGAATTTGGTTTGTACGGTTTAATTGAACGGTATACATTGTTGTGATGTGAAATATCCGCGGAAACGCGAAAAAAATTTTAAAACAGTAGTCCTTGGAAAAATCATCTTCCGCGTAAAATTATGATCAAAGATTTAAAAGAAAATACTCCAAAAAATATCGTGTTTCTGGATTGTCCTGTTTTCGATCAGAGCTTTCAACATCAAACATGCCTTCATTATTATTCATAACACAATACTATTATTGTCTGATCATAAGTTTTCGGACATCATACATTTTCTATCACGAATACTTGCACTATAACGAGGGGTGTGGCATCATACAGAAATATTCCAATGATGGCTTGT